TACCTCGGGCCCCAGGCAACAAAAAGTACATTCTAGTGGCCATTGATTATTTCACAAAATGAGTTGAAGTCAAGGTGTTGGCTAACATTAGAGATACTGACACAAGAAGGTTCATTTGGAGAAACATAATTACCAGGTTCAACATCCCACACACTCTTTTTCTGACAATGACACACAGTTCGACAGTGGTCCCTTCAAAGCTTTCTGTTAGAAATATGGAATTCGAAACCACTATTCCACCCCGGCTTACCCTCAAAGCAATGGACAAGCTGAGATCACTAATAAAACAATCTTGAGTGGAATCAAGAAAAGGCTCGAGAATGCTAAAGAGAGATGGATAGAAGAGCAGCAGAATGTATTGTGGGCGTACCGAACCACACCTCGACGTTCGACTGGAAAGACTCCTTTCGCCCTAGCTTATGAAATGGAAGTTGTTATTCCTTTAGAGATCGGCCTATCGACCTTGAAGACCGAGCTAGTCGAAAGCGACAGCCGTCATGGCACGCGATCTCGATCTAGCTGAAGAAAAAAAAGAGTAGGCCGCCATAAGAATGGCTTCATACCAAAATCAGATTTCCCGAGCTTACAACAAAAATGTAAACCCCCGTTCGTTCACACCTGGAGACCTAGTTCTTAGGCGTGCACTAGGGTCGGCTAAAAATACAGTCCATGGGAAGCTCGGAGCAAACTGGGAAGGCCCATACAGAATAGTCAAAATCGGGGGCAACAGGTATTACGAACTCGAAACCTTGGATCATAAGGCAGTACCGCGCCCTTGGAACACTGCAAATCTCAGAAAGTTCTATTTCTAAGAAATACCTTTTTAGATAGAACCCCGAAGTACCTTCAAAAATTTAAGAGTGTCCCTTAAAGTGATGATATATTAGCAACAAATGTATTAAGTCAAAAGTTATCAATAAAGATTCAAGAATTTTTTTTACTTCAACACTTACTTTGCATTATATACATCCTATTGCTAAAGCAGGGAGGTCAAAAAACCTGATAGAAGTCAAAATTTTAAATCAGGCGCAGCCACCCGATCAAATCCATGCCCTCAGCTACGCATGACGATGTAAGCTGACTAGGGATGAGTTTGAGTCCAATCATATTGGTGGGTCGGTGCAGAGTAGAAACACTCTTAGATCTCAAGCAGATTTTTGAGTAACTCTACTGAGGAACCAAACTCTTTGAAAAAGGTCAAGTAAGGGCTAAGACTTCAAAGAAGCTTGGAACTATAAGTACAAAAAGGGTTCCAGTTTAGGAATCGAGCTCCTTTGAAAAATGGCCGAGCAAAGCCGAGACTTTAAAGAGACTTTAAATTTTTCGCAACTATAAAAAGGTTCCTGTTGAGGAACCGAACTCTTTGAAAAATGACTGAGTAAAGTGCCAAAATTTCAAAGAGATTTTTAAATTTTTCATAAGTTTAAAAAAGGTTCTTACCAAGGAACCAAGCTCTTGGAGGAAGGTCGAACAATTGCCACAACCTCAAGAGATTAAAGTTCTGCCTAAGTGAAGAGGTTCTCACCTAGGAACCGAGCTTTTCTGAAGAATGGCCGAGCAAAGGTCATAACTTCATGAGCCTTAAAATTTTTGCTAAGACCATAAAAATTTTTATCTAAGCAATCATCAAAACAAAATACAGAACTGAAAAGTTGTAATTTTTCATTCAAACTGTTGGAGAGTACAAAACGTTCTATAGAATTCAAAAGAGTAATGGGATACAAAAATTTTCCTAAAGTGTGGATCAGGTAGAAGGAGGCTGGGAAGAGCTCGGAAAAGTGTGCCTGGAGAAGAGTTCTGAAGAAGGGTCAACTTCGACAGCGATCAAAGCAGCCTGCCAACCCTTACTGAAGAGTGCCTCTTTAAGCTTAGGCATCTGCAGAGCTAGATCGGCCTCAGCTCTGTCAACCCCCTCATTATAAGAAGCATCCACCTTCTCTTCAGTCAAATGATCAAATTCTTCGAGAAGTGTGGAATAATCAAGCTGGGATTGAGAGAGCTCAACATTAGCTTCATGCTCGGATTCCTTTAACTTTACATTTTCATAAAAAAAAAATTTTGTTCTCATCTGACAGGCTTTGATTTTGAGCCTGTAAGATCTTCACTTCTTTACACAGCTTGGCGTATTCTTCATCAACACTCTCTTTCTTTGCAAGGGCTGAAGCTCGGGCATGGATCGCGTCCTTCAGCGCTTTATCTTTACATGAAATCCGAGCTCTGACCTCATGGACTTTTTGAAGACCCTTGAGAACACAGAGAATGAAAAGACTTAGAAAAATTTTGAAAGAAGTAACAAAAAAGCTTGAAGGAAGACTTACCAGGACCATGTGTTGAATTGTTTGTCGAGACACTTCATCGTCACTAAGCGCCTCATTCATTGCCAAATCCCAAGGCAGGATTACCCCCTAGCAATTCAAACTGCTACATTGAAGTCCTTGATAGCAGAGTCCTTTGCAGTGATCTCTCTCTTGTTTGCCCTTAGTACAGGTCGAAAAGGAGGGATTGTCGATCTGGGGGAGAAGGTCATTTCATCCTCAGCCAATCTCCGTCTCTTTGGGACTGGGTCTTCGGCGAGCTTGAAAATGGAATCTTCTTCAAGTGGAGGGGTCTAGATAGAAGTAAGGGGATTCAGGTCAACCGGAATTGAAGTTTCATTATTCGAAGCCACATTCGCCAAGTTACTGCTCGGGATATCAGTATTGATTGGGGGAGCATCCTTGACAAGAACCTCGACAGTAGAATCTTCTTCGATGATAATCAGGGGCATAGAAGTTGTTGCCATTTGTTCAGAAGGAAAGGTCGGCTCGACTGTTGACAGAAAATCCAAAAAATTCTTTACGGTTTATGACCAGAAGCAGCCATTGAAGTTCTCTTTTTTCCTTGGGGTGTTTTTCCCGAGCTACCCGGATGGCCTCCTGATCTTCCGCAAGAGTTGCATTGGGTCAATTCGTCATGACAATGAAAGAAGAATAGGACGAACTGTATCCGAGCAGAGTATGAGCAGCTCGGCAGAACAACGACTCATTGAAGTTCCAAACCTTCTGAAGTTGATCCAACTTGATAGAAGACTCAGGAATTTTACCTTTGACAGTTTCGCCTGTGCAGAAGAAAACCCTCAGAAAAACATAAAGCAATAACAAGTTAAAATAAGAGATAAAGGGATATCAAATACCTGACATGCTCTCTTCATAGGGACAATGATATGAAGGAACAGCACCAGCGGCATACTCCTAATTTCCAGAAACAAATACTATGTCGTTCTTATGGCCTTTGTTGGAATCTGGGAGGTGGGTAACTAAATAACGATCTTTTTTCCTCACAGATAGATAGAAACTATCCCCTATTGCTTTGATAATGTAACAGTATAGTATCTCCCACAACCCAAGGCTCAAGTTCAGAATCTTGTTCAAGGAAGCTACCCCCATCACGATCCTGAAAAAGTTCAGGCAGCACTGAAGGGGGCAAAGCTTAGCAACAGAAAGCACCCAGATCAGAAGAGGGTCAAGGGGGAACCGCACGCCTCCCTCGGTGATAGCTCGAGTGGGGATGGGGTACTATTAAGGGTTCGTCTTTTTCGACGACCCTTACCTCTACGTCATCTGGAATATTATATTTGACTTTGAAGGCAGGAACTTTTGAAGGAGTGAGAGGGGCCATTGGAGCTAAAGAAATAAAGCAGACTTGCAGAAGACGAAGCACAGAGAAGCAAAACAGAGAGAGGATGGGAGTCTAAAGGCAGAAAAGCAAAGTGAATAAAATTCAAAGAAAGGCGGTTTATGAAGCAAATGAATCCTAAAAGGCAATATTTAAATACCCTGAATGTGTCGCCAAAGCAAAAGGCGAAGTTACGAAGTACAAGTAATGATGACGAAAAGATGAAAAAATGTTTGTTAGACGTTTTCTGGGGGCAAATGAAGGGGTTAGCCCTCATGATGGCACGTGTTACAACATTAAATAAGCTCACGTGAGCTTGACAAGACCCGTCATGTGAAAGGGATATTCACCCAGTCTTGAGGATCGAGCCGAACAGATCAGTTCATTTAACAAACAAAGAAAGAGTTGGGTTCTCTTGATGGCCAAACTCATCAGTCTGTCACACCAACCAAGGAAAGAGTTTGGCTTATACCAAACCGAGTACGCTAAAGTGTTCAGCAAGGCAATTGAAGAGATCAGTTTGTACCAAACAAAGCCCCTTAATCTGTTCGCAAATGTCAAGTGAGCTTGGCATTTGATATGACCGAGCTTTTTCTAACGATAAACAAAAGGATAAAGATTCACCTATAATTTAGGCAATCAGATAAACAAATTAGAGAAATTGAAAATATCAAGAGAAAATAATAGAGAAATATCAGCAACTTCCTAAACTGAATGACTGAATCTAAGGAAGGTGTGCCACCTTGAATCAAGAAACACGGAAACCCTAAGGGGATGACCACCTATAAAAAGCAAAAAGAGCCAAGAAGAAAGGTACGCTGAACTCTCCTAGACTTAGTACAATTCTTTATGTTCCATTACTGATTTAAGCATCGGAGTGTCTTCGATCGAAACACTTCGATCTTGGACAGTTTGTTCATTTTGCAGGATGGAGTTGAGGAAATTGTTCACACTTCATTACCAGAAATCGTATCGCAGATTCACATACAAAGGCATATCCGATTTTCTGCCTCTACAATAACATTGCCAGGTCTCTTGGAGAATCGCCTGTAGCATTGAAAAGTGAAGTTGGCAGCATGATTTATGTGTTCATTATAGGGGCATAATCAAATAATAAGAATGAGTTTGGGGATTGTGTGCAATCACTTGCTAGAGGATAGAAGCCTCATCTTGATTGTAGCAAATCCAGACCCTTTGGGAAGGAATCATTCACTTACAGAAGGCTGAGGAAGTTTATAATTTCAATTTGACACTAAGAACTTCTAAGCTCCCCAAGGCTTTGAATTTCTTTCGAGAAAAACAAGATCCCAGCAAGTGAAAAGCAATGAGAAGGTCGAATGAAAAGTATGATGGTTTTCTTTTGGCTACTGCTTTTCCTTTCCAATGGTTACTTCGGTTCCTCTGTTAAGACGTTAGACACGAGAAAATTCTTTTGGTTCCTTTGTTAAGGCGTTAGACACGATAAAATTCTTGCGAGCTCACTTGTAATGGGAAGCTGAAACGGAAGGTGTGGCAGCAAAGCATCAATTGAACTGGAAGCCAAAGAAGTAATGTTAAAATAGGTGGCTTATATTCAATATATGGAGAGGCCTATTAGGTTCGAGGATAATAAGCTGGATTTGTCCTAATCAGGGTTGTAATCTATATATATTAAGTTGTAACCCTATTTTTGGTGTGGCATAAAAACAAGATAGCCGCTCTCTCGTGGACATAAGCAACTTTTCAAACCACGTAAAAATTCTTGTATTCATGTTCTATTTTTTCTATTTCATTGATTATTCATCACACACAAATTACAACACCTAATGTTGCTGTTTAAATCAGAAACAGAACTCAATTGATATGTTTACTTGAAAACATACATACAAAGGACTGTGGCAGCGAATATGTTTCCAAAATGATAATGAAAAATATTGTAAGGTGTTGAAGTATAACCATCAAATTCTATCTACATTTTGGAAGAGGTAGGAATTTTAAGCCTCTTATGATCCATCAAGACTATGAAAAGTAAACACCTCAAAGTTAACTGTACACAAGATTGATGTTTCTGCGGTGCCCTCAAGATTACGGAGCGAACTGTTGATATTTTCGTTGAGATGGCAAGTATGAAATCTTCTAGTGAAAGGCAATTGTAATTGAGTTAATTCACATTCAAATTTCTTTAGCATACATCTTCAGTTGTAAATGGTCCGCTCTCTAATTGACCAGATATTAAGAGGACTGATGGTTTGATCCTGCCAAACATGATAATGATAGTCCCAGATGGGTGAAACATTGTTGGCGGTGAGACCGGGGATCACATGCAACGTCGGGAGAGAAAATCAGCGTGATACAAAACACCAAGAAAAATTGACATAATATCATTAGGGTGAGTGAGTATTCGATTCATTTCTCAAGGTCTTCATATACTAGTATTTATAGACCTAAGGCACCCATTTAGATTAATAGACACTCCCAATGGAAAGATTGTAACCATTGGTATAATTACAACTAGTCCAAGAGTTGTGTTCGTTCATAGTCAAATCATTTATACTTCTCTCTCTATGATCTTTCTCCTCATGCATGGAAAAATGACTGCTAACCATTGCATCCATTCATAGGTCACATGTCCAAGTGCGATCACCCAATTCACGGGTCAACAGATAGAGCAAGGGTTTCCCCGGGGACTTGAGTTTGATGGTTTCTTCCAAAACGCAGATATCCTGATTGTCCAAATGAGACAAACACAGATCTATGCTCAATACGCAAGTGTAAGCATCCTAATATGAAAAAACCGAGCATCCTGTTATCGATTGTGTAATCTTCAAAAATCTCTAATATGTTCCCACTGTTTAAAGAATTTGAAATGAAGCAGACTCCTCTTAATCTCTAATATTATCTCACGATAATAAGCCTCTTCCTCGACGGAATGGGCGCACGCAATCCTGTCAACAAAGGGAATCAAGAAGTGGAACCAGAGAGGAGAGTTTTGGTATACTTGCCAAACCTCTCAACGATGTAAGCCTTCTTCTCGGAGACAATATAGATACCCCAGTTGATAGGAGCCCTGATCTCATGCGTCCGCCAAGGGTTGTGGCTACTCCAAAAGTGGCGGACAGAGTCGGAACCGTAAAAGGCAAATACCGAGGCGGCAGCAACGAAGATTGCTTCTTCCGATCAATATCATTGCGAAACAAGATGTTGAAAGCGCTCTACAACGACTACAATCGCACACCAATTGAGCAACCTGGTGTGGGTTTTTCAGAGAACTCAGTCTCTCAAAGGAAGTATTCCTCCTCCACATCATGTTCTTCATCATCTTTCTCTTTGGGAAAATTGAAAGAACAAAAGATCCTAATAACGAAAAGAGATTGCTTTGGTTTTATGGAGGTTTAGAAAACAGAGACGAAACACAAGCCCTTTCTTTCTAAAACCCCTTCTCCCAGTCCCAGTGGAGACGTATTAATAGCTATATTTTTTTGGGTGGATAATATATGAAGAGCAATCTATGCTATTCATAACCAGGCTCATTTCATTGCTCGTTCCATCCCTCCCTCTTATGCTGCCCTTAATTACAAGTTTATGAGCTTAAATCGAACAGTAATAAAGGAAGAAAACGGTCCATCCTCAACAGACTACAGCCAACTAGCTGAACACATAACAATTAGCTGAACATAATGAAAAATAGAAAACAGTCCAAGTACATATGGATTGAATAGAGTTTAGTTGTCAGCCGTCTTCAACACAGGATACGACAGCAGAGCAGTAGCATCTGCAAGTATATGATCCAATTTACCAGATTCAATGAACTTTAAATCCTCCAAGAGAATCACATAATGTCTCTGAACATCCTCGGCACTCTTCTTGCCCCCCACTATAGACGCCGCCACCACCTCCCACCGAACAGGGTCGTCTTCATCAACCGTTGCCAGAGCTAGCTCAAACGTCTTGTTCTCCTCCCAACTCCATCTACACCAACTAGTACTATTCAGGAAATCATCATCATCCATGTCGTGAGAGATACCACAGCAGCACCAGAAGACTTACAAAGATTAGAAAGACCAAGCCAAAACAAAAACCTAAATTTTGTACTACTTGCTTGTTGATTCTACCACAAGAAATTAAGGTACAGACCCACCCAAGCCAAGATGCATTAGCCAGTCACATTGATTCAAGTACCCATGGAAAAGATTCAAGGTTTAGAGAGAATCTTACCTGCTTAGGTTGGGTCCTTGTTTTTTCATTCTGGGAATCCTGTATTTTGGGAGCGAGGGGATGCCTGCAATATGAAAAGGGTCCTTCGTTTTTTTTTTTTTTAATGTTTGTTTACTTTTGTGGGTTAATTGTAAACATTGTTGGAATTTTAATTTACACTTACAAAAAATCAAAAATTTTTATTTTACACCTTCAAAAATAAAAATTTATATCAATATATATCCCAAAAATCAAAAATCTCAAATTGTACTATCAAAAATAGAAATTTATATCAATGTGCACCTAAAACTAACTGCCGTCAGTTTACTGTCTAAAACTAAATTGATAAATTATACATAGATCCTCTCATGCTTATCACTTAATTATTTGAATCCCTTCACATTTAGAATATTACTCCTACATCTCATGATGTTTGTGCACGTATAACACATAATCCCTTTTCGTTTATATCTGTTAATATAACTGTTAAAAAAATAATTTTATCCTAATAAAAAATTAAAATTTTATATTACTCTTTATTTTGTGAATCCGATATACTCTAAAGTTTAAAATCAAATTTACCATTTGAATGTCCAATAGAATAAAGGGTGGCACATTAAGTGACATATTGCATTGGTTATAAAAAATATTATATAAATATCTATATTTTATTGGACATTGATACAAATTTTTATCTTTGAGGGTGTAAATTAAGATTTTTAATCTTTGGAAATGCACATTGATACAAATTTTTATATTTTAGAGTGTAAATTGAGATTTTTGATCTTTATGAATACAAATTAAAATTCGAACGACTTTTCAAAATATAATTTACAATTAACCCTACTTTTGTCTGTTGGAGATAATTGGACCCTCTTAATTAGTCTAGAATACCAACTACACTCTCATTTTATTTCTAGTAATGCTAGCTAAGCAGCATTGGATTGGATTTCAATTGATGGTTAGGTGCGAAACTGCAGTACATGGTTAATAAATGGAAATGAGGCAGCCGGTACGAAATTCACACGAAATTTTCAAATCTTTGAAAAATAACAAAGGAGAAAATACACGTTAAAAAAAAATAATCACACGCATAAGATAATATTTACGTGGTTCGATAATTTACCTACGTCCACGAAACTGCAGAAATTTCACTATTCTCAAGAACAATTACAAAGGGGACGACAGTCATACAAAATCAATCCAAAAACTTAATTACCCAAAAGAAACATATTTTATATGTCTTGCACTGAATTATAAACAAACAGGCCCAAAAATTTTTCATTAAAAATCACGTAATATTTTTCAGGTCAAGTCATCATCCGAATCAACATAAAAAACAAGACTCCACAAAATAAACCCAACAGCAGCAACATCACAGCCACAGATTTTTCATTTCTTTAATTGTTTTCTTTTTTTATTTTTATTTTATAATCATGTGTTATCAAGAGGTCCAGAAGATAGACTTAAAAGGCCAACCACTTCGACAAATTTCTGAATTCCTACCTACCGGCCTGCACAAGAGAGAAGAAAGGCAAGTCGCTTTTCCTAAAATTTCAAGCAAATTGACACCTAAAAGTCATTTCGAAAGACACTTTATTGGGTACAAAAAAAGGGTCTGGCAGGTAATAAATAATAATAATAATAAAAGCCTTTCAGTTTTTTCCTCCTCTACCAAAAGTTGTACCATTTTGTTTTATTAAGTGGAATTAGCCAAGAGACCAAAGAAGATTTGTTCTGTCCTCTCCCACCGCCCCCGCCCCCGCCCCAACCCCAACGGGTAAACCCATGTTGATGTTGATAATGGGCTACCCTACCCGATTCTGGAATTGAAAAGAATTAAACAATAATATAAATTAGATCCTCACAAATTAACTTGTCACACAATCTAACAATTAAAAAACCACAAACATTTACGACCACAACTAAACCTCATACGTGCAACCACTTGCTTGGAAGAGGAACACGACAGCTTTGGATATTTTCCGAGGAAGAGTCCTCAGAAAAGCTCTGCTCTGCTAATATAAAAATAATGCCAAAATTCTTGCCCAGAAGATGGTCGCCAAGACCCCCTTGCTAGGGTCTGATATCACCATCATAGGATCCTGATGATGAGTTTTACACTGCTGATTGCGCATCTTCCAAATCAAATCAAATCCACTGGTGTAATCATTTCTTCAATGGGCCACAGCCACACAAAGCAACAATCAAATTTCTGAAAGAAAGTGACGCTTGAGCATGATAGAACGTGTCTCGTAGCAATGAATACAAATCCATCCTCCCACATGATAGGACCTGAATGTACCCCTCACCCAACCCAACTGCTAAATAATCAGGGGTGTGACAGTGAGAGACATACATATATCGTCAGATCAAAGTCAACAAATATCATCTGATAAAATTATTATTTATCTAATAATAATATCTGATAATGTATCATGCCCGGACACTATCATATTCTAGCATTATTGTCAAATCATACATGAGACTTTTTTATAAACACTAGCCTAAACTTCTCTCCCAACAAAAGGTACTGCATAGCTGCTGAGAGTAAAGGGGGGGATATTTCAAGGTGTGAAGATTAATAGAATCCTTTCCGATGTACCGAAAAATAAAAAAAATAAACGAAGAAGAAGATTAATAGAATCAGAGTCTCCTTTTTTTCTCATTCGATCTTTAGTAGAAAGAGACCTTGGCAGGTATTATTGGGTAGAGCCGAAAGATGCAATTGCATCCATTTCCTGTTGCAAAAGAAGAGCATCAATGAAAAGGTCCAGATTCTCTCCCTGCATTACATCTTCTATCGAGTGGTAAGTAACGCCAACACGGTGATCAGTTACACGGCCTTGGGGAAAGTTGTATGTACGGATACGCTCAGATCTGTCCCCACTACCAATCTGTTCAACGTGTTAAGAGCTCTAAATTAATCAGGTAAAAAGGCAACGGGTAACAGTATCAGAAAACTCACTGATCTCAATCTCAAAATCACTCTTACCTGCTCTGATCGAAGTCTTGATCTATTTGCCTGAATCCTAGATCTTTCAATTTCATATAGCCTTGCACACAATACCTTTAATGCTTTGGCCTTGTTCTAGTAAATAATCAACAATATGAAGACGAAGAAGAACAACAAGAAACAAAAGGTCAGGAAAATAATCAACAGTTATAACAGACATACTATCTTGATGATTACTAGTGAGAAGGCATTGCAATTGTGATGCATTTGCCTATGAAATTATGAAGCATAAACATGGCAAAAAGAGTGTCCTATCCATATTTATACAATAAACAGACGTGATTCAGAAAATATGCCACCCCAAATAAATAAAGTACAGTAATCACAAAGAACCAAACAAATTAGAGAATTGATAGTGTGTGTGTGTGTGCAGCACGCGCGTGCGCCACAAAAAGAGAGAGAGAGAGAGTTCGGCAATGCCACCAGTGGTCTACAGCCTCTACCCAATGTATAACATTTCTTGCACTTCGGCACAAGAAATTACTATACTTTTTTTGACTCTCTTTCCTTGAGTCAGCCATAAATTCAAACAGAAAACCTTGGCTCAACAAGATAGATACTGAGAAAAGTGGTTGTAATTTCTCATTATCTTGGCCAATTGATAAGGACGCATCTGGTTTGACAATGCCAAAACTCATAATGACATCCAAACTTACAGTTATGAAACCCAATATTCTTCCAAATTCTCATGTGTTTCATCCTTAGTAACTACGAGCCCCAAAATAGACTTTGTTTGGCTTATCTCATCCAATCACATGCAACACCAGCATCAGCAAATATATCATCCTCGTGATAAGAAATCTGTCTAAATACAAATCTAGGAAGAATGAATACAAATACGAGTACGAATACGACACAATCCAGATATGAGAAAATCTTAAAATATAGGATACAAATACAGCTAAGATATGTCTATGTATATACATCTATATAATAAAGTATAAAAATCGAAGATATAAAAAATGACTTTTGCTTTTCACGGTTAAGATCGTTTTAAATTTTATTTTAAAGTTAATCCGACGACTAATATAACTCCCCAAATTTAATACCGAAAATAAACCCTCTAAAGGTGTGTTTGGGGTGACTTTTCAAAATTACTTCTAGTATTTATAACCTCTTATAAGCACCTTAAAATAAATAGTATTTGAAACAACTTATTTTAATTACTTCAAATAAGTCGAAAGTAATTTTACCACTAAAATAAGTAAAAGTAAAAAAAATAATTTTTACTTCTTTAAAATCACTTCTCTACAAAATACTTTACTACCATCGCAGCCGCCCCACCAACATCGCCACCGCTACTACCACCACCTCGCCCCCCACCACTATCACCACTACTACTACCACCACCATCGCTACCATCCCACTACCACCTCTACCACAATCACCACCACCACCATTACCACTGCCATCGCCACCCCCCATCACCACCACCACCGATTGCTACCACCACTGCCCACCACCATCATTTCACTCTTATATTTATTACCACAGCCACCATCATCCCATTACCCCTGTTACCCACCGCCACCGTCCACCAACACTATCGTTACCCACCACCACCCGTTGTCGCCCACAACCGTTGCCATCCACTGTCACCCACACCTACCACCACCATCCATCATCGCCCACTACCGCCGCCACCCACTGTCACCCACCCCACCATACCTACCACCACCACGGCTATTCGCCACCACCACCACTGTTATCGTCCACAAGCACTCGTCGTCACCCACCACCACTCATGTTGTCACTACCACCATCGTCACTCAAAATGCACCCCCGCTATCACCGTTGAAACACACGACTGTCACCACCACCACGGTCATCACCGCCCACCACAACCATCATCATCTCCCACCACCACCACTGACGCCCACCACAACTATCATCACTCACCCCATTACAACTAACACTTAAATTTCTTTTTTCTTCTCTCTATGTTTGTAATTTGATTTTGAGTGTGAATACAAATATATTTATAATTGACAATTTTTTTTATTACTCCGTACCTCAGGCATGGGCAATAACTAGTCTATATAATAATGGATAAGGGATTTTGAATCTCCCACAGACAAACTTAACTTTTCCTTTTCGTTGTTCAGATCCTTCTAAATTTACATCCAATGGCTGATATTAACGGATAAGTTTTAAATTCCCACTCATAACTATCCAAGAATCCCTCTCTCACGCGAACACTCTCTTTCTCTCTTCATCCCTCAATCAAACCCGAATGCAATACACCATATATCAGTCGTTTATTTTTCTCTGTCTTCTCTCTCCCTCCACAATACCTCCTCTCTTTTTGTGTCTTCTCTTTCTCTCTGAAAAGCAAAGACCCTCCAACGAGCAACGAACCAACCATCTTTGTCTCTTTTTCATCCGACAACCCGTGAAGAGATAAATCCTACTCTCTCCCTCTTTGTGCATCTAAATTAGCAATATACAATATGAACAATTGAGGCCACTTGTCATCAAATGGGTTTGTTTTCTTTTTTCCTCTAAGTAATGAAAGGGATTCGTGTTCTTTAGAGTACCATTTGGTGGACAAAATTTGAGTAATTTCAACTGATTTAAGCTCAACATTTGATTTTTTTTAAAGTAAATAAAACATCAGACCTAGTTGAGAGCAAAAATAGGCTACATAGTTGAGCTTTATAAAGTATAGCTCCTGGTGTATCTCTGTGTATAAATAGTTAGTGTTTATGTGATCATTCAAGTCTACAATCTTCTACTGAGTTTCGACAGGATGGCAATTTCGATTAGGAGGATGGAAGGTGAGAGTAAGAGAACCTTGCAATTGTCAATGGGACATCAAAACACGGGTACTTCTGCCTTTTAGTGAACAACGGTGTCCATATGGCCACAACCGTCACATAATTGTACTTATTATGTAGATTCAAATCCTATTTAGATATGGCAGCAAAAGTTCATCGCTTCCCAACTAACAACACCAATGAAGAGTTTGGTACGAATGATGGAAAGTGACAGGAATGAATTTTCCATCTTTTGAGGATGGAAGCATTCAACAAGTCGGACCTCAAATCCAGCTTGGATATAGCAACAAGAGTTCGCATCCTAACAAAGTAACAGAAAGAAGCCTTCCTTTGTCGCCTCCCTGATAACAAAACTAATGGAGTGTTTGGTAAAAAAATGGAAAGTGAGAGAACAGAATTTTCCATCTTATGAGGATGAAATCATTACTCCACCTCTCCCACCCGTGCGTACGTGTAGGGAGGGGGGTTTCGTTTGGTAGTGAAGGATGGAAAAGTGAGGGAAATATATTCTCCATTGTCTTGTTTGGTAAGATGAAGGAAAGGAAGCAAAAACATTTTCTATTAATTTTACCATTTTGTAGTTTGCTTGCATTAATTACTTTCTACATTCTCTTCTAATTGTACAAATATTGATTAGCTCTCTATACACACAAAGAAAACAGTTTTGATTTCAACAATACCAATGACAAAAATAAAGAAAAATTGAGGGAAACAATATTGATTATTCAAAAAAACAGGAACAAATCATAAAGATTCAAAAAAGGAAAAAATGAGAACACTAATGTAATTCAAAAATAGACGCTAAATCAAATAGACAAGGATACCAAACACTAGAGAAATAAATGAGTGGTTCTCACTAGCTTTGATCAACACACATATAGGTATAGGTCACCATATTTGCAAAGGATCACGTTAATTAGAAGGGAACACTAGCAAATTACTTCTAACCCACCCCTCAAAGCAAAGTGCAAACAATTGAAAGTCTTTCTTTCCTTCCCTTTTCCTTCCTCTATTATCCATCCACCCAACCTCCATCCATATCAAATAGACCATAAATTTGCAATTGGATTGTTAACCAAAAACATAATACATACCTAATTCAACAAAGACTTAATTTCAAATATTTGGAGTCGGCTACATGAATCCTATTTTTCCCTTGTTCGTGTCCTCTATCAAGAGTCATATTTTTTGTCAAACCATAACCTATCATATCTTTTTTTACAATTTTGTTCAAAATTATTTTAGGTCTACCTCTACCTTTGACATTACCATCAATATGTGTCAAATCATTCTTCCTTACTGGTGCATTATTGACCATCAAAGCCATTTTGAAATTTGAAATTAGTTTTCCATGAACAATTATAACTTAAAAACTGATAAAATAAGAAACAATGATTGATATCAGTGACTGAAAAGTAAAAGTAGAGAAAAATAATAATAGTACACGCCATAAAGGAATCTAAAAACAAAACTTTTAGAATTCAATGTCAAGTAATTGTTGATTGCCTCAAAAACATCTAGTATAGACATATACACCAACTTCTTTATCCAAAGATACTAAATAATAAAATTATTAAAAAGTCTGGTTTAGTCAAATTGCTCCTACAAGCATCAGATAAATGCACTGTGCCACCTGAGCAGCAATAAATTGAGAGACATAAAGATAAAAAGTTGGGATAATTAAGATTTTGTTACCATGTGCTGGGATCTTTCATCTTGTATGGCAACGGTCATTCCAGACGGAATATGAGTTATCCTAACAGCACTGTTTGTAGTATTTGCATGCTGACCACCCGAACCACCAGATCTATACGTATCGATCTTCAAGTCTTCATTCCTCAACTGCACGTCTACCTGCAGAAGCCTTAAAATGTGATCAAATACTCGAATTATATCAAATATCAACCTGAGAAAGCCGTTTGAAAGGAGAATGGTGAAATGTGAATGAACATTTCACTAATGTCACAAAGATCAAAAGAACAGCCATATAATTTCTTCATTGCACAGTGAGAGTTAAAGTGAACTTCTGAACAGCGTACTACAATATCAATAATAATCTAGCACTAGGACAGAACATCAATTCAGGGAGGTCAGCACCTCATCTGCCTGAGGAAGGATAGCAACAGACACGGCACTGGTGTGAACTCGTCCAGACTTCTCTGTGACAGGAACCCGCTGCAAAAGAAGAATGTTTGTAATTGTTTATGGCAACTTGAAGTTCAATATTAAATAGGAATGACAGAACCTGCACTCTGTGAATTCCACTCTCAAACTTCAGCTTCCCGTACACACAAGCTCCTGAGATTGCGGCACTAGCTTCCTGGCATGAAAATTTAAAACATCAAAGAACTTGTTGCACTGACAATACCCCAAACTTGTAGACTAAACACCATCTACATGAGATGTATGCCATAGATCAACTATTCAGATTGACAAGCTTCAGCCCACAATGGAGCCTAGCTGTCTAAAAGGAGCACAGAAATTCCCATATTATTATTTGAAAAACATCATGAAAGACATACCTTGTATCCTTTAAGTTCAGACTCTGTTAACTCTACCACCTCGAACTTCCAACCCTTCTTCATCGAGTATTTCTCATACCTGAGGTAATTTAAACAATGTAAGAATCTCAAATGAGAATTTAATAGTAGAATCCAAAGCAAGCAATCAAATTGTACTAGCTCACATTTTGAACATGTCCATGGCAAACAAAGAAGCCTCTTCCCCACCAGTTCCTAAACAAATCTTGGTGAATTATAACATCAAAATTACTACCCAATAGGAAGTTAGAAAGCATGAATCAATGAGACGCACCCAAACTCCCACCCTCATACGTATTTCTTACCTGCTCTTACTTCCAAAATGCAGTCCCGTTCATCAGCATCATCCTTAGGCAGTAAGGATTTCAGCAGCAAATTCTGCAGTCTATTCTCCTCTTCTTTGGCCTGGCCCAGTTCCTCAGTTGCCATGTCCTGCATGCCTTTATCTTCTGGACACTCGCCTATCAGCGAATTCAAATCCACAATCTCCTACAAATATAAAAGCAAATCTAAGACTGCCTAGCACTGCTCAACAGATGGTAAAAATAATTGGAGGGGAGGTGAGAGCAAGTGATTATTTTGTGGTTGCTCTTGCACCAAACTTACTGGAAAATAAAGAGTGTAATTGTAGAATCCAAGAGAGCATGAGTGAGAGAATGGTTGGAAGGTGGGAAAAAGGTAATACTTGGATGGATCCCATGATATAAACACATCGTATACCTGTTCTTACTACCATTTTAAAAATAACTTAACCTGAACTCAAATGTGATTAATCAAACTCTTGTTGACAAGTGGAAAAATACATGTAATGACACAAAAGCCAATGATACTTGTCTTAGATGAAGAGAGGTTTCCCACTTTGATAAATTCTGCAACAAAATCATGATTAATCGATTGTTTGGATAAATGGAGGTGCACCATTCCACTGAAGCAGTCCCAAATTTGGGGACAGAGCAATAACAACGCAACCTATAGTTTTCCTCCACATGATCTTCAAATATAAAAGACAAATATGGCACTGATTAAAAATTGAAATTGACAGCACAGGTTTAGACATTTTTCTTTATTTCGGGAATGTAAAATTGGCTACCAAACACTACTGCAAGAGATGCTTCTAATGCCACAGATTAGTGGAATTTACAAGCCTAAGAAAGAAATGAAAATCGAAAAAGGGGTGTGGGGGATGTTGGGGGGGTTGAGTGAATACCACTGAAAAATCAACTAAGTGTAATAATTAAGGAAAAAGAACTAACACAGAAATATTTTGGTTAAAGGATGATTATCTGATTTATTTAAAAGTGGGAGAGCATATCATATTTTTCAAGCAGTTCATAAGATAAAGAAAGTTGGAAGTTGATTACCTTCTGTTTGGTCCTCAGCTCATTTATAAGATCCATTGAACTCCTGAGCTTCCGAAGTTCTTTATTGGCCGACGAATACTCTGCTGGTGAGGCTTCTGGCTGTCTTTAGTCAAAGAGAATTTACAAAACAGCATGCACGAAAAATGTAAGTTCAAAAACTGGTCAGGACCACGTAAGAAGAGTTTAATCTGTTAAGGAATGGTTTACCTGACAAATGAGGCCCTGAAGATAAGCACTTCTGTGTTCAATAGCTGCTAGCCTTTCCTCCATGATCCTAATTAGGTCTGTAGATGGTTGAGGTTGCAATTCTGCCAATTTGAAAAATTCAATCCATCACAAGTAAACTAAAACTAGTAACACAAAAGAGAGCTCTAGTGTTCGTAAACTGTAGGGAGAGGATGGCTGGCTTCAAATCCCATCATAGGCGAAGTACATTAACTGGGTAAGGGTTCAGTTCTCATCCATAACAATCTAAAGAATACATATGATTATATGTTATATAACTCAAAAATAACAGCCCTTAAGTTTGATACTTACAATCCATATGACTAAGAGCATCTCCAATCCTTACATTTTTTTAAACTCAAATTTAAATTTGGGTAAAAACCTCCTACAAACCTTCTCCAATACTAGTCTCGTACCCATATCAAATCAGAGAGCCTCATATTTTTACTCAAATCAAAGAAGACTCAAATCTATGCCTAAATCTTTAATGCTGAGATTTCCTTGGTCATATCTTACCCTCTTTAAAATTTGAGTTTCTGTGTTAGAGAGGCCTATACCAAATTAAGTTTTTTACCCTTAGTCTTTCCTCAAATTTTGGTAAGGGTTTGAGTTTCTATTGGAGATGATCTAAAGATTATGACTTGTTTCATCTGGAAACCATAGGTTTAGAGCTCGGAAAAATGGGAAGATTGCGAATAATTTTGTTTGGGAAGTGGAAACATTACCACATTACCATTTTGTTAGGTTTTAGGGCCCGAAGATTATTTCAAGATGACATATGGTCTGTTGTTATCTGTTCTCAGACATCAGAGTCAAATATGTTTTTTCCATAATTGTATTTTTTTCCCTCTTCCAATGTCTATCTTGCTGCCATGAACATAAGCGAAACTGCTAAAGAAAGATAACTGGATTTTGAAATCTAATAAATTTTGAACAGGGAGAGAGAGAAAAGCAAAAAAAAAAATACATCAGCAAAACATCAGGAAAAGAATCTGAACACAAGGAGAAGGAGGCACTTCTATTTGAAAGATTTATCGAAAGATTTATGAGAGAAAGATAACGCACCGGTGGAGTACGAGCGGAGATTCAATAGAAGGGTTCTTCTTGTCGCCGTTGCCACCGAACACAGAGATAAAAGCCATACATTCGGAAGATTCGATCTCGAAGATCGCGAACCCAAAAAAGATTCGAATTGTTTCAACGGTGCAATCAGATTGCTCCACAGAAACCCTGGGTTCCTCATTGTTCGTACTTTCCTTGATTGTGGAAGCACTTTTATTTTCTGCTCTTAGCTTCTTCAAAGACAACTTTGTTTGTTGGACTGGACTGGATGGACTGGCTGGGCTTCTTTTTTGCATATCATGATGATGGGCAATTTGGTTGGTTGGAACCACGACCACCCATTACCCACCTAGCCCGCTTGACGGTAAACCTCTGATCAATCGCTCACCATTGTTTAGGGGTTGTTTTATTAGATAACGAGACGTGAGTATTTTTTTTACAATTTATTTGACTTTAATTATCACCTTCAAATTTATCTTTCTTTAAGTCTTCTTTTTCATCAAATAGTTGTCAATAAGTACACAATTTAAAATATTTTTAAATTCTTTTTAAAATATATTCCATAATTACCTCTATTATAAATAGTGCATACCTAAATAAAGCTTATATTCAAACATAAATTGAGTTTAAATTCATATTCAAAATCAAACTCTATTTACACATACAAATACAAATATGTAAAGGTACATAATACGCTCAGGATAAATTACATTTATTGTTCCTGAAATTTAAACAAATAACAAGTAGTCCTATTGTACATCTTTTTATTAATGATTGAAAACACAAAATGATTGTAGTACTCTCCATGGGAGCTATTAATTGACCATAATACCCTATGTACAAAGTAATGCTCTAAAAGAGTTTTAGAGAATATTTTGGTCAAACATTTTTTTTATGAAAAATCAGTTATAATCATCTTCGGTGAACCATCTAAGAGCAACTCCAACCCAACTCTTTAAACTGGCTAGAAAAAATATATTTAAATATTATATTCTCTATTTTAGGTAGTCATTTTTACAAATTCACTTTAACCACGTTCTCTATTTAGTTGACTACTTCAACTAACTTTAACTAATTTTCAATAATATAATTCAAAAAATCAATTTAAAGCATGTATAATCATCAACTCAACCAAAATCATAACTTAATAATAATTATAATCAAACTTTAAATAATACAACTTAATGGCAATTTAACACTCATCCACTTTAAATAACAAAAATCAATTGCACAATACGTCTCATAAATCTAAGATTTTCTCAAATACTTACATTAATATTTTCGTAGGGTCTAAATGTAAATATTATATTATATATAAAACTAAGAAAATTTTTAAAATTTGGGGGGGGGGGGTTTCAGAATTTGTTGAGGGGGTTTCAGAATTTGTTAGGGATTTTAGAATTTTTTTTTTTTTTTGGGAGGAGGGTTTCAAAATTTGTTTGGAGGGAGGGGGGTTTCAGAAATGGGGGAGATGGGTTTCGGATGCCATATGGATGGGGGGAGGTGGGTTCAGAATGGTTGGAGGGGGGAATCTACAGCTTGAAAGTGGGGGAATGAAGAAGATGTACCTGGCAGCAATAGGTGGATGGCAGCAACACTTGGAGAAAGACGAAGACAACAATTGGAGAAGATGAAGAAGAAAAAGTAGCCAGCAAGAAGTCTGGTGAGCTTCTTCTCCCTCTCCAGATCAGGAGAGCATGAAGGGTCTCCTACATTTAGGCAAATAGGATGGCTAGTCGGTTGGAACAGATTTTTAGAGTTTGCCTCACCAAAATAACTAAGAATTGAGATTTAGCCAGTAGATTGGAGTTGCTCTAAGCCACCACCCAAAATCAACAACAAGCACCACACCCAACAACTTAGTACACAAGCAGCACAAATCAATACCCAAAACCTCAAGAACCTCCCAAGCTATCTCATCATAAACCAAAGCAACCACCATCACACCATATGGTGAACACATAGATAGAAGTGTGAAAATGTACATACACTAGTCCACAAGAAACCCACCCCTCCACCAACTTTTCAAAATTACCATGATCCAAAGCACCTAGACTAGAACCATCGGCCCACGTCTCACCCACTAACAAAAAACCCACCCTTTCGCCACCATACCGCCCATCATACCCCCAATCACATACCCACAACCCACCATCTCTGACATCATCGCATAGTGAATGATCAAACAATAAGTTATTTGTCAAAGACAGAAATATAACACACCTCACTAGAATAATCACTTTCCAACCACCTCCACTTCTCCACAACTAGATATGCTCAAACCAATCACATCCATCACCAGCTACCCCAACCCCTTTCGGTGAACACCCATTTTAGAGCACAAACTAACCTTTTAGCATTCAAGTTCAACTAAGTCATTTCCCTCCTAATCATTAAGAGAAATTCAATGTAGATCTGAAAGTTAGAGTTGTGAGGGAGCATAGAGGTGATTAGGTTTGGTCGATAAACCGTAATCTAAAAATGAGTAAAACTCTTCCCTGCTTAATCCTTAAGCAATAAAGAGAGGGGAAGAGAGACACACACAGTGGGGCGCAGTTTCCACAGATGAAGGAGGTTGGGGAGAGAATATAGACAAATTTTTTGGTTTGGCAAGTAATTTTATGTTGTCTAATATAGAAAGATGAATTTTTTTGGGAACAAGTTTACTTTGGCTATAATTGGATAAAGGCAATCTTGACATTTTTAAAAATGTTATTGCTTACATCAACAATTTTTTTACCCTTTTCTTAACGTTACTGTAACGACTGGTGGAATCTGATACAAACAAACCATGCCAGAAGGAAGGATAGTTATTTTCCTAACAAAAGAGGATATAGTTGTTATTTGACCAAATCTCAGGAGGTAGAAGTAATTCACCATATACTAAATTACTCATTACTTGAGCTTGGCTTATAAATTAAATGACCTTAAAATTGAATTCAAAATTATTTTGTTTTATAATCAAACTAGCTCTAATCTGGGTTAAAATTTATTTGTAAGTCCAATCATTCCCCTATAAATAAGCATTTTTTCGAATGCTGCTGATTTATCCTATCATAAAAGTAATAGTGAAAAAAAAATCCTACAAGCCAAATTGTTTTTTCTAATTTTTGTCAAATTTTTTGCTTGAAAAAAAAGTAAATACTATTTTTTTTGAAATTAATGTACACTTAACATATTTATGCATACTATTCTAAATGAATTAGCTTTTAGTAAAAATGTTATTTTTTAAGTTTATATTTTAGCAGAAAACTACAACTAGATTTTTTTTTTTTTTTTATTTTTACTTAAAAATAGAAGCAAAGAAAAACTAATGCGCTTGTGGGGTTGTGGTTTGGATGCAATCACTTTTAATAAATAAAGTCAAATACTAGTTATGTGATAAAATGATGGATATGGTTTATGCAACAAAGAACATCAAATATGTAAACGGATGTCACAAGTTTACATCTTGATTGCAAAAATCTCATCCATCCAAACAAAGGTAACATCTATAATAGCCATTCTTCCTTATGTATTATGCAAAGTATATATGTTGTAAGTGTGAAAAACTGAGAAGTGTGAACTAAAAAGTTGAATAAGGTTGTGTGTGCAGAATAACAGTAGCAAGAAAGTCTTTTACTCCTCTTGTTTGTATTACTTGGAAAAGAAAAAGATGACACTCCATTGAGAATACAGTTGTGCATTGTCTGGGCATGGGAATGGTTTACCTATTTATAGTGTGGTCCTCAAGTAATAATATGGTGATCTCCTAGTTTGTTAGGATTAGGGAAAAATATTTAGTCGTTAGAGATTATATTCCCTAGATATGACGTGACATTCTAGAAGCTAATGCATGACATTCTAGGGATAAATTCTTCATCTCATGGATAAGATCTGATGACGCAGTTCCTCTTATGTCCTTTCTTCCACTATGGAATGAGTTGTTTCAGGTAAAGCGAACTTGTTTGCCAATGGCTGAGCTAGTTCAAGCACTAACTGATATGGGTCCTTGTGCACTAGGTCAATTAGCATGCTCTTCAGGTATGTTGGTTTCCTTATTATGTTGTAGACTTGTCTTCCTTTACATTGTATTCAAATCATTGAAAATTTATTATTGATGCCACTAGCTAGGAGTCACTATGAATTAAGGATTGTTGAGCATCCTTAGAATGAGTCAGTCTGAGCCCGACAATTAACGCACCGTATTCTTCTTTGTTGTTGGAGACTTTGAAGTCAAACCTCAGGGAATATTCAAGGTCGATACCTTCTAGTGAAGTCAAGATAAGCCTAGCTCTGCTCCCCTGTCCATTAGAGGCTTCATCTATGTGTAGTTCCCAAACTGGGATGTTTGGGATGAACCCCTCTTTACTCTGATCTAAGATCTGCTCGGGAGGCGAGGTGAACTCAACTAGGAAATTTGCTAGGACTTGGTCCTTGATAGTAGTTCTTGACTTGAATTTGATGTCAAATTCCTCCGAGCTCGATTGCCCACTTAACCAACAGACCCAAAGACTCGAGTTTATGGAAGATCTATTTCATTGGCTGATCTGCGGGTACCTCGATGGTACGAGCTTGAAAATAAGGTCTGAGCTTCCTTACTATCGTTACAAAGCCAAGATCTGCTTCTCTATCTTTGGATATCTCTCTTCTGCTCCTCTTAAGGCCTTCCTATAGTAGTAAATTTGCCTTTGAACCTTTTCCCCTTCTCTAACCAAAACAACATTGACTAAGAAGTTAGAAATAATGAGGTATAAGATCAAGACCTCTCTTGCCTTTGGACTAACCAGGATGGGTTACATGCTTAAAAAAGTTTTCAAAGATTGAAAAGTCTCCTCACACTAGTCATTTCACTGGAAAACTGCTTTCATAACATTAAAGAAGGAGATTGACACTTATCACTAGATTGGAAGACAACCCCGTTCAAGGCTCCCTGTGAGCCATTGGACTTCTTTAATATTGGAGGGTGACTTCATCTCAAGGAAAGCTCTAATTTTCTCAAAATTACCATTGATTCCCATTTGATTCACGATGAAACCAAGAAATTTCCCTGCGGACACTCCAAAGACACATTTAGTGATGTTCAACTACATTCCATACTTCCTAAGAATCTGAAAAAACTCCTCAAGGTACTGGATATGAAGCTCAACCTTGAGTGACTTCATAAACATGTCATTAATGTACACCTCTATTGTTGTGTCG